GAGGCATTCTACAAAATTGATAAAAGGAATGGAGCATTTTAGTTATGAAGAGAGATTAACAAATTTAAAATCTTTAGTTTGGAAAAACAGCGCCTCAGAGGGGATATCATAGCATTATAAAAATATAGTAGGGGCCAATACAAACCATTATCCGCAAATCTATTCATAAATAGGACAAGAGGTCACGCATTTAGACTACAAACAAAGAATATTTAGTTTTAGGCAAAGGAAAGAGTTTTTTACAGTAAGAACAATAAGGATGTGGAATTTTCTGCCAGAAAAGGTGGTTCTATCAGAGTCTATACAGATCTTTAAACAGCAATTTGATAAATACTTGCAAAATTACAATATACAGGGATATAAATTCTAATTAGTGGGGTAATAGCTTGATCCAAGGAAAAATTACTGCCATTCTGGAGTCAAGAAGAAATATTTTTCTTAGTTCGTTGCACAATTGGAAGCGCTTCACACTGGGTTTTTTGCCTTCTTTTGGATCAACAGCAAAAATAAAATGTGAGAAAGGCTGAACTTGATGGATACAGGTCTCCTTTCAGCTATGTCACTGTAATACTCCCTTAGTCAAAAGGGTCTCAGATGACCTACGCGCCTGGCAATACCTATCATTATCGTGGCTGGGGAGACTAGCCTCAGTCAAAATAAAGTTGTTACCCCACTTCCTATAGTAAAGAGGTCCACTGTGTATATACTGAACAGACCGAGAGGGCCGGGGGGGCTCGGACTAATTAATTTCCAACATTATTACAACGCAGATTCAAAATCTCCAAGCGCTGGGTAGAATTAAAGCATTACCTTTTTGGATTTGACTTCCCATCCCTCTGCATTTGGATCCCCAAGAAAGACCAACCCCTTCCACCCCCCTATACCCATTCCCTTGCTATCTCTATCGATGTGGGATAAAATTACCCAAAAGTTCCCACTCATCAATGATCCAATACCACTAACTTCTTTAATTCGCAACAAAGCATTCCCAGCGGGCATGACCCAGATTTCAGTGACTGGCAGGAGGGAACCGCCCCTGGCACGGCTGTGGTATAATCAGAGGCGGCGAGGGAGCTCTAATCTCTCTGTTCTGCTCCCTCGCGCGCCTTCGGTTATTGGCGTGGGATCCGGAATATGACGTCATATGACAGCCCGCGAGGGAGCAGAGCAGGGAGATTAGAGCTCCCTCGCCGCCTCGATTATACCACAGCCTCGCATCTCCTAGCAGCCACACTGGACCCCAGGGACAGATCCACGCAAGCTCTCCAGGTTGGTAGGCTGGGTGGAAAATGTTTAATTATAAAAATAATAATTAGTGAGTGTTTGTGTCTGTGAGTGAGTGTATCTGTAAGTGTGTGAGTGTGTGTCTGTGAGTGAGTGTGTCTGTAGGTGTGATTGTATGTGTGGGCATGTGAGTGTATGATTGTGTCTGTCAGTGTGTATTTGTGAGTGTCTGTCAAATCAGTAAGAGTATGTTTGTCATTGAGTCTGTGTGTGAATATCAGTGTTTCTGTCAATGAGTGTCAATCAGTGTGTGTGTTTCAAATCAGTAAGTCGATGTCTGTCAGTGACGTCTGTGTGTTTGTCTTTGAGTGTGTGTGACTGTCAGTGTGTATACACCACTGAGTGTAGTGTGGTGGAGCAGAGCGTGGTACAGGAGCTTCTGTTTCCTGTACCCGGCCAGACTGAAAGGAGGTGCTCTCTGAGAGAGCACTTCCTGTCAGTCCGGCCAGGTACAGAAAATTGAAGCTCCTGTAGGGGATCTGCTCCACTCGGCAATGCTACAAGAAAGGTAGGAGGCACACCAGGAAGGGGAGTGTGACCACTAAGGGGGTGGGGGGTGCACCAAGGGACAGGGAGGGGATAGAAACACAAAAGGACAGGGAAAAGAGTGGGGAGGGGAGGGGACCACTAATGGATGTGGAGATGAGAGGGGCTGGTTAAGAGGCACATAGGTGAAGATGTTATTTTTTTTTTGGGGGGGGGAAGGGGGAGTGGGGTAGTGTGGTTGAAAAATGCATCTTCGCCTATGTACCCAAAAATCCTTGCACCTGCCCTGTTCAGAGAGGAACATACATCCACCTGTGGTAGCAAACAACAACAATAAAGTATTTAACCAGGAAAGGTACATTCAGATTACTCTGGTTTTCAAGTACGTCCTAGGGATGTTACCTTAGCCCAACATCCAGGGGTTGCTACTATTACCCTATTACCTACTTAAAATGCACCATCAGCTCTATGGAATACAAGTTAACAGTGGGATACATGCAGTTGTTAATGAAACTGGGGAACAGCTCAATAGGCATCTTTCTATATGAAGCCATGGCATCTAATCATTGACAAAAATATAATTTTATTGTTCCATTCATAATCATAATGGTTTATTTTACTTGGAATTCCCGCCTTTCAGTAAGGTAAATTGGAGAAAATATTTTCCATTTAGAGAACACTCTATATTATTATAATTTATTATTGAGACTTCCTGGACAACTCTTTTAAACCGATTCCCTATGCAGCATTGGCATCTCATCTAATTCCCCATAGGTTCTTAAACTATTCACTAGACATGTGCAATTTGTTTAGTTCTGAATGTCAATTTGGCCGAATTTCAGGCAATTCGGACATTTGGAGATTTCTGAATGTCCGAATAGCTGAATTGCCGAAGTGTCGAAGTTCTGAAGTGCTGAAGTTCCGGCGTGCTGAAATTCCGAAGTTGACGAAGTTCCAAAGTGCCGAAGTGGAAGAATGAAGAATGTTACACCGTATACTAGTTTAAATAAAAAGTATACAAACATAGCCATGATTCAGCTGTAAGCATTTGCAACACTTACAACAATCAAGTAACACACATTAAAATGTAAGTTACTTCCATTACAGTCAATGGATGGGGATGAGTAAGTAGATAACTCCCTAATTCCCATGGTATTAGGGAGCTATCTACCAAAAGGCCGAAAGGCCTAAATTGGTCTTTCAGCCAAATTTACTAATACTAAGTAAAAATTACTTAGTATTAGTACATTCTGCCCTTACTCACTATACTGCGAGTAGGGGCATGTCTATTAAACAGTGAGCAGCCTGGGCTTTTAAACTAAAGGGGGGACCTATTGCTCCCCCGGCCCCAACCCCTGAGCAGTGGGTGGGGGCCCTAAAGAAGAATAAGGGGGGGAAACCTATTGTCCTCCCCCCTGGCCCCCACCCCTGAGCGGTGGGTGGGGGCCCGCATATAATTTGAGGGGGTGAACCTATTGTCCTCCCCACTGGCCCCCACCCCTGTGCAGCGGGTGGGAGCTGTAAAGAAGAATAAGGGGGACACCTATTGTCCTCCCCCCACGGCCCCCACCCCTGAGCAGCGGGTGGGAGCCCTGGAGTAAAATTGTCCCCACCCCCGAGCAGTGGGTGGGGGCCCTAAAATACTTCAAATGGGGGGACATATTGTCCTCCCCCCTGGCCCCCACCCCTAAGCGGCGGATGGGGGCCCTAAAGTAAAATAAAAGGGGGAGGACCTATTGTCCTCCCCCATGGCCCCCACCCCTGAGTGGCGGGTGGGGGCCCTAAAGTAAAATAAAAGGGGGGGGGCTGAAAAAAGAAGATTTTAGAAAAAATACATCAAATGGTAAGTTTTACTTCTTTTTTTTTTTTACAGGTACTTAGTCATTGTTCCCCCCTCACTATTTTTAGGGTGAGGGGGTAGGTAGGGTTTTAAAAATTTTTTTTGGAGGGGGTGACTAGGGGATTGGGGACCCCTAGTCACCTGAGGGGGGTTAGCATTTTTATTTAGGGCCCCCACCCGCCGCTCAGGGGTGGGGGCCTTGGGGGGCTCAATAGGTCCTCCCCACATTTATTTTACTTTAGGGCCCCCACACGCTGCTCATCGGTGGGGGCCAGGGGGGAAGACAATAGGTCCCTTTTTGGATACTTCTCTGTACAGAGATCTAGGGGAAGGTAAAACTGCATATTCTCTGTACAGGAGAGAGAAAAATAATAGTGTAGATAAAAAAAAAATACATCAAATAAAATATATTTCAAGTAATTTAGGGCCCCCACCCACCGTTCAGGGGTGGAGGCGAGGACAATAGGTCCCTCCCTTTTATTTTACTTAAGGTCCCCCACCCCTGAGCGTGGTCCTCCCCGTTGAAGTATTTTAGGGCTCCCACCCACCACTCAGGGATGGAGGCCGGCGGGGAGGACAATAGGTCCCCCCCTTTGAAGTATTTTAGGGCCCCAACCCACCGCTCAGGGGTGGAGGCCGGGGGGGGGGGAGGACAATAGGTCCCCCCCTTTGAAGTATTTTAGGGCCCCCACTCACCGCTCAGGCGTGAGGGCCGGGGGGGGAGGACAAGATGTCCCTTTTTGAATACTTCTCTGTACAGAGATCTAGGGGAAGGTAAAACTGTATATTCTCTGTACAGGAGAGAAAAATAATAGTGTAGATAAAAAAAAATACATCAAATAAAATGGAGTATGGCAATATAAACTCACAAAAACTTGTAAGAGTAGTCCTAATCCCTATTCTATGGCTATCAATTTTAACTGGTATTGTTTGGTGCAACAAGAGAGAGCTCCACAGGGTAATACTGCAAAACTAGTACACTAGTAGGTGGATGAATAGAAACACATGCAACTGAGCCCCATGAAGATGGCTGGGCACTTTAGAAGACACAGAAATACTCAAATGATCAAAATCCACCCCAGTATACTTATGAAAAGTTTCCTGATGCACTCACATGTTGTGGAGCCTAGGTATTGGCTCCAGAAAAAGCGAGTGAAGTGGTTTGATCCCCATTCAAGCATATAGGTGTTTTGGATCATTGAGTGGATATTTGTATAGAAAATAAGTAAAACTGCAATAGTGTACACAGTAAAATGGAGTATATTGCACAATAAAGAAATAAAAAACCTACTCATGAGAGCAAAGGGTTTACGCAATCCAATACGCTAAGGTGATATTATCCCAACCAAGGATATATAGCCAAGAAATCCGGCAACAGGAAGTCAGTCCAATAAAAAAATACTTTTATTTAAAAAAACAATAAAAACAGAATCAAAGATAAAATAAATAGGTAAAAACAATATTTGAAATGACTTTAAAGGTGTTTACAGGGGGCGGGGCCTGAACAGCATGGCGAATAGATGTGTTTCTGGGGAGCACCCTGAGATTCACTGTACAAATTGAATTTCTGAGCTAATTCAGCAACTATTTCTAAGCTATTAGTCTTACGACATGACAGAGCGATCGGGAACATGCCCTGCAGTCCTCTAAATCCATCAAGTAGCCAGTGTACAATGAGGCCTAGCAGGCGCTGCTGAGGGGAGAGGCGTCCGCTCTCCTGGATAGATGCAGGCAGAGCCCCAAGCGTGTTACGGAAGCCGACATTAACGTCAAAAGTATCCCTAAGATGGCGGACGCTGCGGGTATCCTCACCAAAGAAGGAGTGATGACCTCTACTCTCCAGCGCCTGGATGCCCTCTTAGATGCAATTTGGTAGAAGCTAAGGGCCAAAAAGTCAATACCTGAGACTGTGACGACTCCCACACAACCATCCTGTTACACACTAGGCAGCCCAGCAGTATTTGCCAGAGGCCCGTTACGCCTGAGACAGCGCCGGCTGCTTACACACACCGCAAGACAAACTGTGAACAGATCGGCAACGAGCAGGCAAGCAGTGAGCCGGAAAGCTACACAGCTATACAGCTCCTATGCACATGGGGGCGACAAGCGGAAAGTTGAGGAGAAGGGAGGAAAGCATATACACATGCCAGGTCAGCTGCTGACACCTCCGGCTCTTGGTTCACAGATCCATGCAATGTGGGACAGTAAATTCCCTATAATGGGGATAGGTTGAGCACCAAGTGAAGCCATATACTACATGTTATATGTAGGGTAGCTAAATGTTAGAGTAACATGCTCTTTACTAATTTCCTGTTGTTTTTCATTGATAAACGTTTTATTTGTATTAATCAATTTAGCATACCCTAGGTGCAATCACAACTTTAAAAGCTCTTACTCAATATGGATGTCTCCTACTTGATTCTAGAGCTGTAGGGTGGTAAACGTGCAAACTTGAATCTATTGATACCATCCTAATATTAGTCTTAGCTCTGCTCGCTCACTACAGATTTAGATAATCAAGCTTAATTTTATTTTCTGTCATGCATAATCTGCAGTTTAATTGATAAAATTTAAATGTATTAATTAAAATTAATATATTAATGTATAGAGGTAATTCCACATAATCTTGTATTTAATTTACTTTTGTTCATTTTCAAATATAAAATCATGTGCAGTTAACTCAAATGCCATGACAAAGTATGTCGTTGTAATGCTTGTTACCACTCTTGTGGCCATATAGGCTTGTATGTAATTTTATGCATAATAAAAACAAAGAATTGAAAAAAAAGTGTTTACAGAGTGCATGGGACCTGTGTTGCTTAAATAGGAATGAAAAATATGAAATAAACGGTCGTGTGATGTCATTGTCACATGGCCAAAACTAATTAGCTTAAATTATTTTTTAAACTGATTAAAACTTAATATACTCAAAAGAGGAGCAAGGAAGAGGCTGCATATATATTTAATTTCCGTAAAGTTTATCAGTAGAAAGCTCATGGTCTATTTGACATGAAGAGCTGATAGTTATTCCTTTCTTTGTTCCCGATTTATAAGTCTTTTAATTTCAGCCGATCACAACCACCTGGTGCGCAGATGAAGTCACAGCCTTCATGATGTCACCGTGTTTATTTGGCATTGTTAACCTTTATATGCATGGGCCTTATGCCCTGTATTTGTCTCTTTAAAAAACAGATCCATGCGCAAGACTATAGCTCTGATGTGGTTTCTGGCAAATGAGGCTCCAGGAGCTGAAGAGGACATGCAAGACAAAGATGGTGGCCGCTGCTAGGGACATATATACGTAATTAAAACTTACCTTCTCCTACACCTCGCGGCACCAAGGCCTTTGCCAAAATTGACATCCTGAAAGCCACAGATCTGCTTTAATTCTGTATTTGGAGAACAGATGGGATAGATGCTGATCCACATCTTGGTGCTTTTTAGATTGAATATATATTGATGTATACAGGGCTCAAAATTTCCACTGGCCACAAGCCATTACTGAGAAAAAATGTAGCCCTGCCAAATAGAAATGTTAATTTTACTCAAACAAATACCTATAAATAAAATCAGACAAACAGAGGTCTTTTCATATATATGTGTATGTGTGTTTGTTAGGAAGAGCTCATCTTTTTCATGGTCTCCTCTAGATGATGATAATGATGGCAAATTAGGACATGAATCAGTAACACCATCCATTGTACTCATGGGTGACACTTGCCCCTCCCTGGATTTTTCATCTTGTGCCGGTATTTTTCTTTTCAGATTGAGAATACACTGCAACATTGGCGCCGGTTAGTAGGTGGCGCTGTGTGTTGAGAGAGACAGGGATAGGAAACTACATCTTATCCCTGCTTCTCTCTCCTGACTGAATCCACGGGGGAGCAGCTAAAGACAGTGCAGCCAGCAACTCCTAGACTGCAGAGACAGCCTACAGATCAGGTAAGTGAGGGATGGGGGAGACAGCCTACATGAAGGGTTAGCAAGGAGCAGGAAGGTAAAGTAGGAGAAGGAGCAGAAAAGAGAAGGAACAGAAATTAGTAGGAAGGGACATCAAGGAGCTGGAAAAGGTAGCAAGGAGCAGAAAGGGGCAGCAAGGAGCTGGAATGGGCAGAAGGAGCACGAAGGTAAAGTAGAAGGAGCAGAAAGGAACATAAATGAGCAGGAAGGGTCAGCAAGGAGCAGGAAGGGTCAGCAAGGAGCAGAAAGGGGCAGCAAGAAGCAGGAAGGGGCAGCAAGAAGCAGGAAGGAAAAACAAGGAGCAGGAAGGGGCAGCAAGGAGCAGGAAAGGATAGAAGGAGCACAAAGGTTAAATAGGAGAAGTAGCAGAAAGGAACAGGAAGGGGCAGCAAGGATCAGAAAGGGTCAGCATGGAGCAGAATGGGCCATCAAGGAACAGGAAGGAGCAGGAAGGAGGGACAGAAGAAGCATAGAGGTAAATGAGCAGAAAGAATCAGAAGGAGCACAAAGGTAAAGTAGAAGAAGGAGCAGAAAGGGCAGCAAGGAGCAGGAAGGGTCAGCGAGAATCAGAAAGGGTCAGCAAGGAGCAGAAAGGGTCAGCAAGGAGCTGGAAAGGGCAGCAAGGAGCTGGAAAGGGCAGGAAGGAACAGAAGGAGCACAAAGGTAAAGGAGCAGAAAGGAGAAGGAACAGAAATGAGCAGGAAGGGACATCAAGGAGTAAAAGGGGACAGCAATGAGCTGAAAGGAACAGAAATGAGCAGGAAGGGTCAGTGTGACAAACTCCCCTTCCCATGTGAGTTTGCCACGAGCTCCTGGAGGAGCTTGCTTGTGTGAAGGAATGCACCTTGTTTTCCATGCTTGTAGATGGCTTATGTAGCTCTGCTATATTAAAATTGGCTAACTTGGAATCATGCAATGCTTAATGCTCAAAACGACACTTAAGACCATATATGTCTAGTTCCAGGAGCAGATAGCCCCCACTTGAGCTGTATCTCTTAAATCAGTCTGTTTCTTCTGTTTCCCGAACTTATCTGTTATATATACATGATGTTCATCCCAATGTCTTATCTGTACTCCTTTCCTGTTATTTCACTGCCTTCCTACTGTTCTACGAGTATTTGCACGTAAGCACTTGCTTTTAGTGTATAAAACCACAAGTTGTTCCAATAAAATGGCTGATGCTTATTTTGATACCCTACACGCATGACTGTTGTCTGATTCACACTTCTCCAAGTGCACTTGATACAATTTGGGTTCCACTGAATATAACAAAGATTGATATTTGATCTATGACAATTGGTGCCGAAACCCGGGAACCAACGTTCGAAGGACTCGGACACCAGCATACAGGTGGACGTCCCCCTGACCACGAAATCAGCTGCAGCAAGGCAATAAAAACTTTTATTTACTGCCTATATCAATTTCACTCTCAGATCCATGTCTTACTAATCTATCTGGGTAAGGAACGACTTTAAAAAGTCAGATTCAAAGAATTGTTTTAAGGGTTATATTATATTCAGATGGAATTATAAATGTCCTGTGAAAGAAATCTAGAAACATTAGCATACATCCGTGGATTCAAAGTTCTTTTCATTGTCTGCCTTGTCATTTACGTTTTGATTAGGATCAGAATTCTCCAGGGAAGATCTCCTGATCTGTGTTTAGAATAATGAAGACAAGACTGTGAAAATTCAACTGCAGTGGCCTAAGTGTTTTGCACTGTTTGTACTTTTTATCTTATGTAAGAAAGTAATTAACCCTTACAAGTTTTAAGATGGGTAACTCTCAGAGTACTCAGGAGGAGTTTACAGCTTTGACTATAGTCAAGCATCATAAAGGACAAGGCGCTACTAAGAAAATAAAGAAGTTACTTAAGAAAGCTGGTATGTCCCCAGAGGGCACTCTAGATCTATAGATATGGAAAGAGTTTGTAGCAAACAATAAGGGATGGTTAGAAAATAATGACTTAGCAGAAGTTGCCCAAAAATGGCATGACACTACAGTTGAATTAACTAAATGTGGTTGTAGAGAAACCACCAGAAAAGGTATACCATATTATCAATGTTTTGGACCTCTAGGGTCCCAGCAGACCCGGACTGGCCATCGGCATCTCCCTTTACCGGCCCAGAGACACTTCCAGGCGGCCGCTTGCTGGGGTGTGAGGGAGGGAGGAGAGGACCGGCGGAGCTCTAACCAGCAGCTCCGCCGGGTCCTCTCGCGGGATTCTGAGCGTTGCCGCGGTTACTCAGATCTCGTGAGAGTGAACTCTAGCCTACAGGCTAGAGTTCACGCTCACCACTAGGACCACCAGGGATCAGGCAGCATTGCTCTCCCATGGCAGAACGGCTCCCCCCTGTCCCAGGCAAAACGGTTCCCCCCCCTCCCAGGCTAAAGGTAAGAAGGGAGGGGGGGGGGATATAACTTTTTTTAAAATTATTATTATTAATAAAAATAAAAAAAATTAATTTAAATTTAAAAAAATCACACTCACACACACACACACATCACCCCCAGACACACACAGCACCCCCAGACACACACATCACCCCCAGACACACACAGCACCCCAGACATTCACATCACCCCCAGACATACACAGCACCCAGACACACACAGTACCCCCAGACACACACAGCGCACCCAGACACACACAGCGCACCCAGGCACACAGCACCCTCACTCACACACAGCACCCTCAGACAGACAGCACCCTCACATATATATATATATACACATATATATACATACATACATACATACATATATATATACACACACACACACACACTACAGCACTACATACATTACGCTCCAGATACACGCTAGATCCCTTACCTTATATGCACTCTTAATCCTCTATACACACACACACACACACA